CCTCTGTTTAGCCTGTGACAGTGGGGAGAGCATACCAAGTAATTATTCTCTCCCTTCAAAGAAACATGAAGGTCTCTTCAAGACTTGGTTCAAAATTATTTTAAATCACTGGGGACCTGCCCAGTCTCCTGGGGAAAATATGTTCCTTTTGGCTGTCTGATACTGTTTCTCTTCTGAACATATTTGGAGTGGAAGGTGGAAAGAGCAGCTCTTTCCTTACCTGTACAGGTTGTGGCTTAGAAATGCCCCCTCTATGCCTGTTGCCTATTTTTCACTCCAGAGCATGCTTTATTGCAATTTGAATGTTGCTCTGCAGAATAAATATTTGGGATTATCACCTCCTTTGTTCCTTACTAAAAAGTGGACACTTCTGAAAGTAAATTGGATGGGGAAAAAAATGGGAGGTGATTGAAAAAGTAGTGCTCCAGGCTGGGTATAATTACCTGCTCTTTGTCTCTCGCATGCAGGACAAGTCATGGCTTAGACTGCTTGATGGTGGGGAACTCCCTGCAGTGGGCATGGCTCAGCATGAGGAGTGGAGAGAGCGGCCCTTGGCAGGGGCTCTCCATCATGGAGGACTCACAAAGCCAAGCAGATCCCTGCAAAATGAGAGGGGACTATTTTCTCTAATTCGGTTAAGAACAGTCTTAGGGGCAGTTTTCCTTGTTTAACATCAGTCTGCATCTTCAGATTTAGATCTGACTCTGAAGTCTGGCTAAGATAGGATGAAGAACAGGAAAAAAAAACACCTTGGGCAGCGTGTTTGGATGGGTGAGGAAGATCTAGGTCCAAAGCTTAGTTTCCTTTCAAGAAATGGAAAGACTGAGCCCCAGCACCGAGAGAGTGGCGGCTGTTGCAGGGGAGCGGAGCCTGCGTGTGCTGATGGCTCGGCTAAAGCCCCTTCCCCAGATACAGGTTTACTGCCAATAGATGTAAAAACAGTCATTCAATGATTATCTGGAGTTTACAGGTTCCTCAGTCCCTTCTTAAATTGTTCTTGAAGGATGAAAATCAGTTGCTCCTTCTTCCTCTGCAGCGCAGGGGACATAGGGGACATTCAAGCCTATCCATATAAGCCCTTTAGGCTTCTGTTACGTCTGCCTGAAACAGAAGAGGCTTTTGAATGGGGTGAAACAGCTTGGCAGGGGGGGCTGCTTATTTCCCTTGAAGGACAGAGATGTTTATAGCTACAGTCAGGCTTCCTCCAGGGATGAACTCTTTATTCCAGAAGTCTGAATTGTAGTTACAGTGGTCTTTCCCTTCAGAAAACCAGGAGCCCATGGGCTGTAGGATGGATGATTCTTCTTTCTCCTTCCAGAGTTTGCCTGCCCTAGAGTTTGTCTTCCTGAGGTCTCCCATGCTCATCAAGTACGCATCATCCCTTCTGCAGTGGAAACAGACTCCTTGTGTGCCCCCCTTTGGCTAATTCCTTGCAGAAATGTCTGTACTTATACAGAAATGTATAACCCCATAGCTGGGGTTATACTAAAAGGAAGAAAAGTCGTTTACTGAGAGAACTAGGAGAGGAGCCAGTCCTCTTCCTCGCCCTCTTCTCGAGTCGGGCAAGGCTTCTGGCTCTTTGCAAGCACAGTACCTACAGCATTTCAGAGAGCCAGCAGAATAGAGAGGCTTGAAAGTACAGTAAAATGAGTTTGCCATCAAAAGGCAACAAGTCTTATGCTGTGCCCCCGGCTGCTGACCTTTCCCTCTGGAATTCTCCCCTCTGACCTCCAGATCATTAATCCTGATGCTGCCAGATGACAGTAATCCATCATGGCCCCTGACAAGCCTTGCAGCCGCCTGTGAAAGGATCCGCTCGGCTTCAGCATCCAATCGTCCCATGATACTCGTTTTTCAGCCTTTCCTGTTTGAGCGCTGGGAGTTTCCAATAAAGACTTTATCGCCTTGCCTTTCCTAGGAGAGGGGCTGGGGGAGGAGAGGGCTGTGAGAGCAGCCTTTCCGTGCTTCTCAGCTATTTTGCAGTCAGATCCTATGAAACATGCAGAGCCCTGTCTTGCTCTGAAAAGTCCAGTTAATATACCAGCTCCAAAACCCAAATAACCCTTTGCTAGCTCTGGGGGATGTCACTTGGAGTGGTGAGAAAGCATGGCAGGAAAATGATTGCCTCTCCATGCTCAAGTGGTAGAAGGATGGAAGTAGTTTTGTCCCTGCTCTAAAGTTTCTCAGCCCGTGTAAAGAAATTTTATTGGGGGTGGGAAGCTATAGGTTTTCGCTTAGTTTGTAAAGCCACAAATTAAATTTCAGGGCACTTTGGTCTGTGGGTCTTGTTTAAAAGCAAACTTCAGGAAGGAAAGGTGTCAAAGGGTTAGTAACGTGAGGCAGGGAGGTCAGATCTGATTGCTGTTTCTACCCCAGCTATGAGCAGGCTCTCTGGAAATATATTTAAGCCTTTATTTCCCACTGATGCAGATAATGTTTGTCCCTTTCCATGGAGTATTTGGATAAATATACTTGTGTACCTTTTCAAATGCTGAGACGGGAGAATCTATAGAAGAGTAAAACTGTGTTTAGGATAAATGCAGTATATTAAAAAGTAGGTATTTCCTTATACTTCTGTATTAGCAGCTTGTTTGCCTGAGGAGCCTTATCCATGCCCTTCCCTTTCACTCTCCATCTGGTCACTGTCCAAGGAGAGCTGGATGAAAGTCCCTTCTGGACAAGTTAATGCTATTCCCTAAATTGGATTGGGGAAAAGTGGGTGGCTTTGCACGGCGCGGGGTTGCTGGAGGAGTGGGGAAGAGGGTTTTGATCCTGCCCCAGGATACTAACGTCTTTGCTGGCAATGCGGTGCCACTTAGGACACCCCAGCTTTCCTTGCTGCTGGGGCAGAAATGCTGAACTGTTAATGAAGGGGCATTCTGGGGTGGAAAAAACCCACCCCTGGCTCTTCCTAGAAACCTCTGAGAGAAATATTTCCCTGCTTTTCATTTGGAGCTGGCTGGGTGTGACTCTGGTTACTGTGGCTCAGCTGATGAATGATAACTTAAGGCTGGTAACATGATCACTCCCAGCCCTCTGTGTGACTGAAATGACACTGTTAGTGTGCTCTTAATCTTTGCAATAACACACGGAGACAAAATGGTGGCTGAGGAAAAACTGAAGCAAATTGAGGATTGCATTTACACAGGCTGCCCTTTTGGGAGGGACTGGCTCCTGGCTTGGGGCAGCCGGCTGGGATGGATGGAGCCACAGTGCATTTAAACAGTTTGGAAACATCTCTATCTCTGCTCCCTGAGGGAAGTGTCGTCTCTGAAATGCAGGAAGAGGATCTGATGCAGTTTATGAAATTACTGCTTTGTGGACTTTTCTGTTGTGGACAGGGAAGGGGTTGTTTAGAGAAGGCAAGGAAAAGAGGATATGATAGATATAAAATGACGGAGCATGCAGACAAAGCCTGATCAGGTTGCTCATTATGTTTTGTTACAGTTTGAGTTAGTAACTTGGTGAACTTGAAGGCAGCCCTTTTAAAGCTGAAAAAGTTTACTTTCTCTATCCAACATCTCATTAACCTGTGGCAATTGGTACCATGAGCTAATGCATAACAGGCTTCAAAAAGAAGAGAGAGAAAAAAAAAAAATTACACTTACATGTATAATGAGGACATCTGCAGAGCTGAGCTGCACTCCTTTTCACTAAACAGAATAAAACCCATTTATAAGGGCCATAAACTGCTCTGCTTCGGGGCATTAACTGAATCGCTGGCTGATGAGCAGTGGCAGAAGTCTCCCCTGTGGGTTGGGTATTCCATAATTGTCCATTGCAGCGCTTCGTAGGCTTTCCTGTAAAGGCTGGTGCTGACCATTGTGGTAGACAGGATACTGACCTCAGATGGATGGCTCTTTGATCCAGGACAGTATTTCCTATGCAAAATAAAAGGTTTGCTACATCAGCATTTTTTCCTCTCTTCCTCTCCTTGCCTAAATCTCATTAGTTTGACCTTTTTAAACCCTGCACGCTTTATCACTTTAAGGTGCTGCTAAAAGGGCACTATCAGGTTAAAAAAATCAGATTTTCTTACCTCTGTTAACCCACAAGATGACAAAACTGAACAGGAAGGATAGAGCTGTTTCCCTGTCTGCCCTGTCTATCCTCGCAAGGATAGAGCAGGACCTTCTTTTGGGCTCCAAAAAGTGTTTGGATGCCTGGTGCTTCTCACAGCAGCCGTGAGGACGCCTGGCTTTGCGGTGTCTGCAGTCAGGCACCCTGATGCTCTGTTACACTGCTCATTTGTTCACCTCCACCATCCACACAATTTCTCTAGCTTTCTTGCAACAAGTTACTGCTCCAGCAGCTGCGTTGCGGTTGCTACCAAGGTACCCATGTGGCCTCATCGGTGTGTCATTTGGGAGCGTGTCAGGGAAGAGGAGTGGGAGGGTGAAAATGCTTTCTGAGAGCAGAAGCTGTAGCAAAACGTTATGCGTGTGCTTGCGAGGGAGGACAGAGGTAAATGTACGTGGGGGAGGGAGGTGCTCTCAAGTGTCGTGTGCCCTTTTCTATCACTGTTCCCAAGCAATACAGGATGGCAGATCCTGGGGAGTGAGGGAGCCAAATCCCAATGTACAAGTAGCTTGAGTTGCCTGGCTGCTCAGCCCCTTCGTGAGCACAAGCAATACAGATTTTTATCTGAGACTGCCCTAGGAGCTCATAAAAAATGATTCCTCTGTGCTGCTCCCTCACCCCTAGGTCTGAATGGTCCCTACTTCCCGTCTTTCTATTTTAGAAGTTGCTCTTAGATGCAGGTTATTATTTGCCTGATAATTGCTTTTGCCTACAGGAAAGGATTTTTCATGAAAAAGACGTGCCATGTAGCTACACTTCTCTGGCTCATTTACTCACCCATCGAGAGACCTCAAGTCAGGCTACAAATAGAGTTGCCTGAATTTCCTATTAGAAAGAAGATCAATAGCCCCAACCTGCCAGTTTTCTTGGCCTCATTTTCTATCTGACTCCATGTTTCCTTCCCTGCTGTTTCCCTGCAGGAACTCCCATCAATCGGATCCCCATCATGGCAAAGCAGATCCTGGATCTCTACATGCTCTACAAGCTGGTGACTGAGAAAGGAGGGCTGGTGGAAATCATCAACAAGAAGATCTGGCGAGAGATCACCAAAGGCCTTAATCTGCCCACCTCCATCACCAGTGCCGCATTTACGCTTCGAACCCAGTAAGTCCAGAGGGTCTAACAGCATGGATGTAAACACAGAGTGGGGATTGGGGAGTGCAAAGCAGGGACTGGGGTGGAAAAATTGGAAGACTAAACTCTACTCTGTGGCCAGGGATGAGCTGATAAATTACTCTATCCATCTCACCCAAGGCTTGCAGTTTTTCCTTTCGATTCCTTCTCCTCTCATTTTTCTTAGCAGTGATTCTTCCTGAACTCATTCCCCTTCCATCCCTACAGTCCCAGCACTAATATGCCATCTACTTGTTTGCTGTGCTCTGCGCCTCCATCCATCCTGTGCCTTTCTTGCCTCTTTGGAGCTTAAACTCCTCGGGGCAAGGAGGGTCTTGCTCTGTCTCTGAAGAGCACTTGGCACAAGGAGGAAGGACGGAGGCCTCCTGATTTGTAGGCATCAAGTATGGACTTGATCGCTGGTATCAGTCTGTTATCACCACTAAGTTGTGGGAAGTTGCACTTAGCACCTACTTACTGTGAGGATTGCTTTTCTGACCTGGGGTACCCCACGTTGATTAGGCAAGAAAAAAAAAAAGGAAAAAGTAGAATAAGCAGAGGAAAAAGAATGGTGAAAGTAAACCTACTGTGAAATTTAAGCAACAGGGCAAAGCTGTGCTTTAGTGACTCAAAGCCTGGGCTCTGGGAGTCCACACCCAGCTCTTCTGCAGACTTGGTTTTCTTGGAAGTTATTAGAGCCCCCGAGTCCCAGAGAGGGAAGCTCATTGCCATTTCTACAGCCTTTGGTGCAAATAGGCTGTCTCCTGCGAACGTGTGTGCCAGAATTCAGCAAAAGCAGTAAGGTTTGGTGCTGCCCAATACAAATGACTTGCACAAGGGTAATTCCTCAAACTTCCTTCCTTGCACTAAGGGTTATGGTCCAAGATCTTAATTCTTACAATTTTAGATGGTGTCTCCATTGTAAAGGAATCCTGGATGATTCTTTTCTGCCCTTGTGGGTGTAGTAGTATGTACCTATGTGCTTCCCAGTAAACACTGAGTAAATTCAAAGTTTCTTTGAGAGCTGTGCTTCACACCCAAACTGCTCAATGCTTATTGAACCAAGCGCAGCAGTGGTCGTGATATGCAGACAAAGACTCCAGGTCTGCAGAGGACCTCAGTCTGAAAGTCTTTCTGAATGCAATGCTTGTTGCTGTGGCCTATAATTCCATGTTCTTTTGAGAAACCTACTTGAGTTTCCCTATGCTCACCTCTCTCCCAGGTACATGAAGTACCTATATGCCTATGAATGCGAGAAGAAATCCCTCAGTTCTCCTGCTGAGCTTCAGGCTGCAATCGACGGCAACAGGCGGGAAGGCAGGCGGCCCAGCTACAGCTCCTCTTTGTTCAGCTACTCGCCCACCACCACGGGACCTCCTTCCCTCCTGTCTCCCCCAAAGATCCGCTTCCCCATCATCGGCGTCGCGCCGGGCAGTGGGACCAGCAATCCTCGGGTGTCTCCAGCAGCAGCTGTCAGAAAAGGTCAGCTACTTTTATACTTGCAGCGAAGAGGGTGGCTGGGTTAAGAGGTGCTGGCACTGAAACACAGTTATTTTCCATTTTGCCCACCCAGACTACTTTGGACTTGAAAGTAGTGGGACTTGGGTGGCTCTGGGTTTGCAGAATATTCTGTCTGTGGTTTAAGCCTTGCATGTTCACTTTAGGAAGGGCTCTGGGAGGGACTAAGTGACTCTTTCCTCTTCTAGGTGATGGTGTGCCCTTGACTGTGTCTATGCCAAATCGTATTGCCGTGCCAGTGACCTTGGCTAGCCAGCAGGCAACTGTGGCAGCAAGAACAGCCACCCTAGAGCAGCTGAGAGAGAGACTGGAGTCAGGAGAGCCTCCAGAGAAGAAGGTCTCACGGATGACAGAGGAGGAGCAGCGGCTTGTCCAGCAGGCTCTTCAGCGCAACCTGTTCAGCATGGCGCGGCAGATCCCCATGAAGATCAAAATCAATGGCAAGGGTAAGCAGCACCTCTAGATACACAAAAGGTCTTTGCAGACTGCAGCAGGGAGGGAACTGCTCCCAAACTAGGATGTCAGACACCTCTTTACACAGCTTTGATTATCTCTCTGGGTACCAGGTAGAGGTTACTGTCAAGAAGCTGTTAAAATGGAGTACAATAGCTGCAAAACTAAAGAGTAGTAATGTTTTGTTAGGTTTTATTTACTGCTGCTGTTTTTATTTTATTCTTGTTGATGCATAATCCAGTATCATCTGAATCCAGCCTGAATTCAGAAGCACCCTAGCTGTGTTCAGAAAGCTCTGCATCTAAGCTGATAAAACCCACTTGACCCATACAACAAGACCCTTACTCTGAGCTTATGACCTCCTGTGTTGATCACAGTGAGATTGCTTCAGGACTCAAGCTGTTATGTCTCCGCAGAACTTGCACAGTGGGGAATTAGCAGTTTCAGTTGATGCTAGCTCAGTTGTCCTTGCAGTGGTGCTCTGTTGCATGCTGTAAGTATGCTCCTTCCTTCACGGGAAGCATATGGGTTGGCTGAAATCGCTTTGGGCCACATATCTGCCCCCCTCATGTTTAATACCTGGTGTATACTTCAGATCTGAGAGCATGGTTTAGCCTAGCCATAGGCAGTCCTGTGATTCTGCAGTCCATAAGATGACTTTCGGAGGGCAAGCCCATCATGTGCCAGATGCTCAGCTTTCCACTGCCCTGCTCTGAGCCTCATGCCAGCATTGTGCTGCAGGGAATGATTTTCTGTCCTTTCCTGGTGAGGAACCCTTTTAATTGATCGTGGAGGTAACAGCTTTTTCCATATGGGTAGCAGACTGCAGGAGATGGGGGAGAGAGATGCCCAGCTTTTAGGAATCCTTTGTCAGGTGTGATGAGGAGGCCACGAAGACCTGTGTATCTGCAGAGGGACCTACCCATCACAGGGCTTTTAGCAAGTCAGGTGATTTCTACCAACATCTGCTGCAACCCTACACACAGCCTCCAGGCAAAGAACTCCTGGCAAGGCTGGGTTAGAAGGTCACATATAAGCAGCATTCATGGCCTGGGAAATGCACTCCTGAAATGCTTTGTAAAAGGGGAGTCACCCTGTAAAGGTCACATTGTCAGAATCAATACTGTTATGTAGTGGCTTCAAAAGCTGATTAAGTGCTGTAGCTCCCTTACCTGTCCCGGGGGCTGCACTTCACTGGACAGCAAAGCCTCAGAAAATTTCAGTCCCAACAGCTGCTTCCTCCAAACCTTTTGATCCGTCAAAATTAAAGGTCTCAGACCCCTTATTAATTGTACATTTGGATGTAGGCACAAGGCCAGGCAAGTTTGGCACAGCTTAGAAGAAAGGGAAGAGTTGTTCTTGAGGCCTTTGCTAGCAGTGCTGGTAAATGCTTTATTGAGATGCTTTGCCAGCAATATACATGGCAAAGGGTCAAAGCAGGTTCCTCTTTGAAGCAGCAGCAGCTTCCTGCAGAGTTAAATGGGATTGGGACTTCACAGTTCCTGACAGCTGTGCATCCACCTAAACTGTACATTTACGTAAAAACAAAACAAAAACGAAAATCATGAGTAAAAGGGAATACAAATTTTATCAAGTAATGTTCATTCCCTCCCATCTCACTTTATTTTTTTTCTCTCCACCCTGAACTTCCTAAATCAAAATGCTAGGAACAATTTTAGTCTCTATAAATAGTAACAGGTTGAGGACTGAGGATTCAATGATACTATTCCCACCTTTGATAGCTGACTGTGGGCAAGTCTGTCCTGTCTTTTGTGCCCTAATTTTCCCAATTACAAAATAAAAATATTGTGCTTTGTAAAGTGTTTTGAGAGGTGCTGTTGAAAAGGACCGCATGAGCTTATCACAGCTTGATAGCAACGTTTAGGTTAAATGCTAACAATGTCCTTAGCATTCTTTACAGAGACAGTGGATTTTCTTGTCCTAGCAGACTTGAAAGGAGCTAAAAACATGCATTTTACATGCAATGTCAGAGCCTGAGCAGAATGTCTGCCTAATCTCTCTCTGTTTTAATAGCCCAATGCCCCAAAACCAACATAGGATCGGCTGGTAACCATGATACGGCTGTGCAAACTGTAAGCGTTGCATTCGTGAGCACAGAGAAGCAATCCTGCAACCCAAGCTCACAGTTACGGGTTGCTTAGGTTGGAGGTTCCGAAGCGCCTAGGAGAGTTTGACGTTCAGCTCCCCTTAAGTGTCAGTGCCAATTGAACCCCTGCTCTGCACTGACGCTTCCAGAGCTGCCCATCATGGCTTAGAAAGGATTCCCCAGGCTGAGGACAGGGGAAAAAAAAAAACAACAAAAAAAACAAAACAAACAAAAAAACCCCCCAGATTTCACATGCGCTGTAGGGGTAGCCAAGCATAGTGTTCCTGGGTTTGAGTCCTTGGTGCTGTGAGTAGTCCCCTCCCTCCAGCGGCTGCTGGAGCTGCTGCAGTCTGAGCCCTGCACAGGGAGTCACACCAGCTCCTGGAGAAACTGCCACCCCCCAGCAAAGGGGTAGAGGACTGTGTGTGTGCTCCCAGTCTGCTGCAAACACAGCCACAATCCAGCCAATTTAAATGTGATCTTGTCTCGTGTGCTGGCAGCTTTTTCTTTGGAGGGGATGTTAATTTGGCCATCCAGCGTGCGAGTCGGGGAGAGATTTGCAAATGCCAGAAGGCTCCCAGCCCATCCTGAGTTCACACTGAAGCACTTAAACACCTGTGGAGACTTGTAATAGAACTGGAAGTGGACATCATGTGGGGATTTCCTCACCAAAGAGGAGACAAAAGGAGGGCTGTGTACAGCTTTGATCATTGGTGGATAGTGCAGGGAACAGGACAGTTACTCTCTAACTCTGCATCTCTTCTTTCTTGAAAGAAGATAAACCTGACTCAGCGGCGGCGGCAGCACTGAATTTGTCACCTAACGGCATTGGGAGTATTAACATGTCAGTGGAGATTAACGGCACAATTTATGCTGGTGAGAAAGAACTGCTCCTGGGGATGGGTAGAGAGCCAGGATGGTGGTGCAGAGTAGGACGTGGAGAGGGTGGTGTGCTCCCAGGGGCTGGTCTTTGCCAAAGTACAACACACACAACCTGTCTGGCTTAGAAAGCTCAGTAGGAAATGATTTCTGTCCTTTTTTTTTTTTTTTTTTTTTGGTCCTAGGCAGTCAAGATGAATGCCCTTTCCTTTTGGTGGTGGTAGTATTTTTTAAATCTAAGGGAAGGGACTTCTATAGAAGTGTTAATAGGAAGGAGTATTATCCCTCTTCTGCTGAGGAGTGGCTTTACTCAGCTTTTCCTCACGCAGTCCCGGGAATCACGAATTGTTGTCCCCTGTAGTGCGCTCAAGCCATTTCACTTCTGCAGGTCACACACACGCATGTTTGCACAAAGCCCAAGTGGGAGGCCTGGCACTGCAGTGCCATGAAAGTTGTTTCTCTCCTCCAAAGGTGTTGAAGCTACTTGGGATTTTTGTCTTCTGTAAGCACAACATCCCTGTGACAGAACAAGGCCCCGGGGGATCCCTTCTATATCCTGGTCACCATTGACCCTCTGATCTGCCTCCAAGCCCTCTTGTCTTGCGCTCAGCCTCTTTCTGTTGGGATGTGATCTTTGGGGTTGGATAGACTGCCCTTTGCTCTGTAACCTATCCTTGTCAGCCATGCCACCCCATAGTCCCAGTAACCCTTTTCTTTACCTCTCTCTGCCTTGCAGGAGTGCTCTTTGCCCAGAAGCCAGTCGTCCATCTCATTGCAGGCTCCAGCACCCAAAGTTCCTGCAGCAGCAGCAGCAGCTCCCACTGCTCTCCCAGCCCTACCTCATCCCGGGGAACCCCCAGTGCAGAGCCCTCCACCAGCTGGTCTCTCTGATGGACGGCTGAGCCTGCTGTCTCTCACACTGGCCTCCGGCAGCTCTTCCTCTCTGCTCTCAGCAGGGAGCGAGCCGGGAAGGAGTCGCACAGATTACCTCATCTCAAGGAACCTGCTTTTGTGGTTGGCCAACAGCAAGATGATGATGATGCTGAAACCTTTCCATGCCAGCGAGTTTTTCTTCATCGTCTGTTTGTCCAGCCTTTTTCTTTGTTCTTCCCCTTTCTTCCTCCCTTTTGCTTTTTGTTTTTTTTCTCCTCCTCCCAGGGTTTGCTGTGTTCCTGTTGGGGGGTGGGACATGGAGGGGGGGGGTATGCCTGGCGTTTTTCAATCAGGGATCGTCTCTAGGAGCTGCGGGTTGAGAGATGGCTGAGACGTCACCAAGGCAGGTGGAAAGAGCTGGAGTTGGGGCGGGGAAACTTGGTTCTCCTCGAACCAGTAGCCACAAGGACTCTTCCCACAAAACAACTCCGTGTATTGACAATCCTAAGAGCCGGCGGGGTGCCTTGCCCCTGTCCTCCCATGGCTTGTGCTGCAGAAGGCCAGGCGGCTGCAGAGCAGGCAAGCTTCCTCGCTTTTCTTCTTCAGGCTCTGTCGTGGTCCGGTGTTCATATGTCCTCCTGTAGAACACATGGTCTTGGCTTGTGAGCCTCCTTCCCCCTCTCCGAGGTCTTGGCAAGAGGGGAAGGACTTTCTCACTGCAACGTTTGACCCATAGACACATTAAAAACCTCTCGATCAGCTGCTTCCTTCTCCTGGCTGGTGCTGGCCTCTTCCCTACTGTTGCCTTCAGGCTTTCAGCCAAGTTTTAAATGTCCTCCACCTTGTCTCTCTCCCCTTGAGGAACTCATCCCGCTGACATTTACCCTGACAGCCTGAACTTACTGTGGCTTGCTGCTTTGATCTTCTGCCCCCTTGACACAAAAGGGCTGTCATTTAGGTTGATCTAGGCTTCCTGGAGCAACTTCCTTCTCATAAGGTGTCTTTCAATAGCCCCTGGAAGCTCTCCACATCCATAGGCTGAGAAAATAGAAGGTGATATTTGAAATCTAATTCAGTGGGGCTGTGGTGCGTGTGTAGGCATTGCAGTTAACGTTACACACGCGTCTTTTCGTTGGTCTCTGAACAAGCCTACAGAAAGCCGGTCCCCTTCAAATTGTACATGAGCGAAAAGAAAGCAGCTCTCAGTTGAGTAAGACCTTTTGCTCTCCTGGATGGAAGCAGAGGAAAGGAAATCAAGCCCCTCCTTGCCCTTTCCCCTCAAACCTCCAGTTGAAAGCAAGCAAAGGCTGGCCCTGGCTCTCCCATGTCTGGAGCCAACCAAGCTGACTTAGTGACTCCATGAAGTCAGCTCCTGCTCAGGTGGCCTCATTCTGTCCCCTCTCTTCTTCTGGCCTTTCCCACACATGCTTTCCCCAGCCTGGAGACCAGGTCCAAGCACCATCCATCCTGCCTTGGTGACGTCCTTCCTATCCTTCAGGCCCAAGTCAGGTTTTTTTGAGCAGATGAAATACCTCAGATATGTACTTGTTGTTGGGTTTTTTTTGTTTGTTTTGGGTTGGGTTTTTTTAACCTCTTCAGGAAGTATTGGCATATCTTATCGCTTGTTTTTTATATGTGGTTTTGCTGACATTGTGTTTATTTTTTTTATTTTTAATTGTATCACCAAAGACAGAAAGAAAAAAAAAAAAAAGACTGAGCAGCAGTGGCTTCCCTGTCCTTTAGGCCAGCAGGAGACAAGCTGAACAGCATTGTCCCAGGACATGTGCGTGACACAGGAGGGCAGGTAGAGGTAGGAAAAGAGGGCAAGAGCAACTGCTTGCTTAGAAGATCTGTCCTTCACGTTGGACGCGAGGGTGTCTCCAAAGTCCCTGTTATTTTTCCAAGCTCCAGGATCTGTGCTTACCTTTAGCAAAGCTGCTTAGTGCAGCTGGGAGATGACAGCACTACTTACACTACAGATTGGCCAAGCCTCTTGCAGGAAGGTGGTTTCTGGCACCTGAAAGCACAGCTTGGTCTTGTGGTGCTGCACCCAACCACCTCCTCAGCTGTGCTGGGACTTTGTTATCCCAGACACAGCTAATCCTGTCTACACTACAAGACTAAGCCATGTTTGGTAGCCTTTGAGAGAGGCACCAAAATAAGAAGTTACTCTCGTTTTTCACCTGTACGTAAGTGTCTCTGTAACAACCACCTGAGCTAGTAGATGTATTATGATCTAAGTGAAAACCATGTTATAACTCCAGAGGTTCAGCCTGCTAAAAATCAAGTTTCCTCGAGTGTGGTGGGCGAGTTGCCATGTGTCATTCCAGTATGAGAAGAGAAGGTCACCTTTTAACTGCTCCTGTGGGTGAGCAGAGCTGTTGGGAGCATTTAGCTCTGTGCAGGACGGGAGGCTCGAGGCACTGTTGCTGTTACAGGCTGTGCCTGCCTGCACTGCTGAGCCCAAGCTTAGCCTAGAAGAGCTGAGCTGTGAGGACTTGAGCCTGTCCTAGTATTCTGTGAGACTTTACAGGTCCAGGGGAGATGTCCTCCTGCAGTACTTCCATTAGCCATGGCACAGTCGAAGCTGTTTATTTTATACTACTGAAAAGATCATGGCTTTAAAAAACACCAGGCCAGATACCACCACAGGAAAACCCTGTCAGCAGCCTGAGGATTGGACTTAAAAATGTACATAGAAAACGAAACAAATAATCCTTCCTTTAAACTCTCAAATATCAGGTTCTCTGTTGTAATCCCCAAGCACTGCTCGGCTGGGCTGCTGCTCTGTCCTTGAGAGCTGAGTGCTTGTGCTAAGGCTTGTGTAAACCACAGGCGGGACCTCTGAATTGCAAGAGGCTCTGTGCTCTCTATACAATTAGTTTATACACTATGACTTGAGTTATCCTGCTACCCAACAGCGTGAGGACTTGGTGGGAGGAAGCAGGAAAGTGGGTGAGAGTGCACATGTCCTGAGATAGATGCTGCTCCGAGATGTCCCATCTCCAGCTGCTTTTAGCTAGAGTAATGGCCACCCGCCGGGCATGGGAAGCTGAGCTGCTCTTTGGCTTCAGGGCTTTTGCTTGGCAGATCCTGCAGGCCTCCACAGCATTTCATCCTCGCAGGCTCGGAGAGGATTTTCCAGACTCTGGGGCTCATTCAGATTGGTTTTTTTTCCCTTTTTTGTTTTCTTTTGGTTGGGGTTTTTTTGGGGGGTGGGCTTGGGGGCTGTTTCCTACAAGTGGGACTGGGGCACTTTCTGCTTTTCCTTATGCTTTTTTCTCTGGTCCTGGGGAGCAGAGGTTAGTAATGGGTGGTTTTGCTTATGTATCACATGCTAACATTGTGTTTTCTTGCACAGAAAGGCACTCGAATCACTGAACTGCTAAACAGCTTTGACACTACTAGAGTATTAATGTTTATAAGCTTTACACAACTAGACTGGAAATAGACAGGGACTAACAGATTGTTTTGTATCCAATTCAGGGAAAGAATCAAGTTGGGATGCGTAACAGATACCTCAGTAAAAATAAGCTGCAACAATAAACTGGTCCTTTCTCAGTACACAATGATGAGGACCGGCCATTCAGACTGTGAAGAGTAACCCTTTCCCTCAGCCCGGCTTTGATACTGGCAGTTGGCTTAATGCATGTTTCGCTGAGCTCCAGATCTCCTGCTGAGCTGCCAGGCTTTGGGGACAGGGTTATGGAAACCAGCAGCAGAGATGGGGCAGAGGAGCCAGGAGCCGGGGAAGGCTGAGCAAGGGTGGTGGATTGCTCCCCCTCTCCCCGTCTCCGCTTCATTTCACTCGACTGTGTTCGATTGTATAGTACTCAGGGGTTTTGATACTGCGGGTAGGACTGTTCCTCGCGTGAAGTGCTCCGCTTTGCAGTGTGGCTAATTCTCTCTCAACTCCAGACCAGCGAAGGTTTTGCAGTGAGCAGCCAAAAAAAAAAAAAGCCCCCAGCTTGCTTCTGTGCAGCCTTGATGCTTCTGTTTCAGGGGGAGATTTGCCAGCTGGGTTTGATGCCCAGCTGGGGGGAAAAAAAAAAAAAAACAACCACAAAACAAACCCAAACCTGCTTGTCCTCTTCCAGCAGATCCCAGTTTATGGTGGGATTGAACAAAGTTTGTGAGCTGGGAAAGGGGGAAGAGGTGAGGGGGGAGGCTGCGTGCCTGCTCAGCTCCCAAAGTGAATGTGAACGTGTCACACCAAGTCCTTTTGGCCGCGTGTGTGTTCTCCAAACGGATTCAGATCAGAAGATGTTTTCACCAAACAGCTGCAGCAGCCTTGCTACTAGTTTTCTTACCTATTTAAAAAAAAATAAAATAAATAAATAAAAAAAAGAAATGTGATAGCCTAGGCGGTGGATAAATACCTCAACGTCTCCTTCCAACAAGTGTCTGTATATGTTGTTGTTGGGTTTTTTCTATCTTACTCGTTATCTGAATGTTTATATTCCAATAAACTTCTACCTCTTCACATGGTGACCCCGCAAGCCTGATTTGTGGCCACGCTGTTTCACTCAAGTGTGAGTTTAAGATTTCCCAGACCCTTCTTCATCCCAGGAAAGTATTCCCAGAGGCTGGGTCAGCCTAGGTGAGGTCTGTGTCCTCGCAGGTCTCTATGCTCCCAGTTTGTAACTTTGTGGGGACAACTGGGCTGTAAATTTTATCTGGCGTGATACAGTTTTGGAGTGGTGGCTAGAAACGAGCTGGATACCTGTGGGGTGAAACGATCGGGTTTCCAAGTTAGATCCTGGCTGGGAAACCCCCTCTGCACAGCTCTGTGGGAGAACAGACATTAAACAGATGTGTTACACTGGATCTCCTTTCCCAGGTGTTGCTGAAGGGCTCACACCTGCAGCTGTACCTGCCTGTGTCCCTTACCCAGCTCCGTGAGGGCCAGGCTGGGGCAGGAGCTGCTCTCCCAAATCCCTCCTTCGTCACCACCTCCTCTGCAACAAAAAGGACATTTAATGCTTCCCAACAGTTTTGCTATTTACACAGCACCTGATGTTGTTTTTCTAGTTATTGAACCAGTTCGGCAGTTGGAGAGGAACTGGTTTCCAGCCCTTTTCATACCCACGTTTCCAATGCCTTGGTGTCTGGGTTTGTTTTGGCCGGCAGCCCGTCTGTGGCGGCTGGGTGCTGGGTTGGGGCCCAGCGCATGACCTTTCCCATCCGAACTTGCCCCATTCCCAACATCCCCACGCCACAGAGTTGGAAACCTCTCCCTTCCCACTTCCACACTGCCTGCCTGTCCCTCCATCAGCATCTGGCTGCAGGGCAGACCCACGCACAGCTGTGAAACACCCATCCAACAGCGGTGGCTGTGCCGGGGCTGCGGCACGCGGTGACATGGTCTCCCCGTGCTCAGATCCACCTTGGGCTTCCTCGCCGTGCCCTGTGGACAGGGTGGGATGCTGTAAACCAGCAAGTTGTGTCTGCTTTGAGCATCCCCACTGCGTCTCTGCAGAGGATGGGCTAGCACGCTTGCTGGCCACAAAATGTGGCTGGCTGTTGGTGTCTCTGCTGATTTTGCTCCACGCTGTGCGAGAAGAGCCATTGCCTGTGTTTTATGGCCCCCCCCCCGCCGCCCCGAGGATCCTGGTTATTGGAGGAGAGCGGGCTGGCAGAGCCGCTTGCCTCACCTGGGCTCCGACCCCAGCCTATCCAGGCAGTGGGCAGGTGAAGGCAGAGCCTTTCTCCCTGCGTTTCCTCCCCTCCTGCCCACTGGTGGGTTTGGCTTTTCCCAGCTCCAACTTTTACCCATGTGAGCTCAGCTGAGCCAGCTCAAGGACTCGCCTGTCCTCACCTCTCACCTCAAAAGCCAGATGCCCGAAGCAGGTAAGGTAGGTTCCAACAATGGCGGGGGGGGCAAACACCCTTTGTGCACAATGCCGTGGGGTTTATCCACCAGCAGCCTTAAAATCAGAGGTGGGAAGGTGCCGGCCCCGGTGCTGGGCTGGAGGGGGTTCTCCCCCGGCTCCAGGGGTGCTCAGAGACTTGGTCTCAGGTGAGGGGGGACTCCGTGGTAGTCACCCCAACCTCACCGCCGAGGTCCGGGACAGCCCTGCAGCCCGCCCAGCCTCCACCCCTGTTAGCTGCTTTGGTGCAGCAGGTCCCTGTGCAGCATCCTCCAGCCCCGGCTGACCCAGCACCCAAAAGCAGGCACCCAAAGGGATCCGATACACCTTCCCTGCTTTGCTCTATAGACCAGTGTGGGTCTGTACACCCTGGGTGACTGTGCTCCAACCCTCCCAGCTCACCTTCCCAGGGCTGGACGGCTGTGGGCATTGGCAGCCGTTGTTTGGGCTGGAATATAATCCTCCAGGCAAGTTCACATCCCAACCCCCTTCGCTCCATCCCTCCCCTAAATGCCACCATTCACTGCTCATCTCAGCCACAACCTCGCTTCCCTAACAAATAACAAAGGGCTAAAGAGAGCCCAGTGTGGATTAAAGCATCTGGATAGGAAAACCCTACCCCCATGGTGTGAGACAACGCTTGCTTTTCTCTTTCAAACATTAAGATCCCTCTATCGAACCCGGCTCAGGCTCTGGCAGAGTTTTGTCCAGACCCTGTTCTCCATAATCCCTCACTGCAGGGCTGGAGGTGAAGCCAGCACCAGGCACAGGGAGGCTTTGCACTGGCACAGCAACATTTGCATCGGCGCTTGTTGCCCACCTCCAAAACCCAAGTTTCCTAAGAA